GGGGGGGGGGGGGGGACGAGGAGAAACGTCAAGGTCGAGACGCTGCTACACAGTGAGACGTCAACCGACGCACTGGACGCAGCCCGCGGGGACGGGTGACGCATTGGGCGGTTTGTCACTAGGTGACCCCTGCAACAGCCAGCTGCTGAGAAGCGCCACATGCTGACTATTGCTGTCATGCTCTCGTTCTGCAGCTGTAGGACAGCTGCGCAGCGAGCCGTGGGGCCACGAGCCATGCTCGCGCTGCGTGATGGTGCTCCACCAGCTCAGGAGCTGGCAGCAAAGGGCAGCAACCGAGTGCTCATACCTGGGCTTCTCATGAAAGGCCCACATAGGCACAAGGTTTGCATTCTTGTATCCCGCATCATTGACGGAGAAGTATGCGACTGGCGATTTCCGCAGAGCTTGTTGCTTTGCGGTGAGCAAGGCGACCACGCTCACGGAGCAGGCTACGGTGAATACTGCTACGCGCTTCCAGTAGATGGCTTCTGCACTGCCACCCTGGCCAGAGGCCAGCATGCCCACCATAGCTGGAACTGTAACGAAAGCAGGAAAAGCCGGATGAAACGGTGCGATGAATGTGCTGAAACGATGGTCAAACCCAATTGATGATGGTTACCGCATGAGCCGAGCGACAGCCCCGTGGTGGGATCCATGGACTCGAGTGCTCTGGTCATCTGGGCACTGCGGTACTAACCGACTAGTGGCTTAGTGGCGCCCTCGACAGCTGCCATTGCGCAGTAGTGCAAAGAATGTGACAAGCCATCCCAAACTGGACTCATTGTCCTCTTGATGAAGAACTTGAGGAGGCAGTCGCAGCATTCAGCTTTTTGTGTTTTTTGTAGAGGTGGCCAGCCGACCTTGCTCTCAGGCTGCACGACCGCCAGAACGGCCCCAGCTACGCACTGAGGACACCTTTACAAGTACGGCGGCGCAGCGCTGCTTGCATAGCCGCCGGTCGCACCGGCTGCCGCCACCTGCAGCTGCGTGCTGATCCCCCGCAGCGCCTCAACGGCCTGTGGCAGCCGCTGCAGCCCGGCCCATGTCTCAAGGCCCTCCGGGCGGCCGTCCTCCCGGTGAAGCACCGCCGCCGCCAGCCGCGCCGCTGCATCCTGCACAAATGCGTGCCGCATGCCGTCATGCACAATCCACGCACCCTCCGCTGCAAACCACTCATGTGCCGGCTTAAGCTGTGCGCAAGCTATCAGCAGGCATCGCGCGGCCTCGAGCAACTCGCCGCCACAGTGACCCGCGCACAGCGCCGCACACTCCACCTCGCCTGCACCGCGCAGCGCTGCCTCGGAGATGACGCCCTCTGCCGCCCTGAGCGGTCGCAGCGCGCCGTCAAGGGCAGCGGATGCGGCCTGCAGGGCGCTGCCCAGCGCCGATGCGCAGGCGCCGGTGCGCAGCTGAGGTGGCAGGGCTGCGCCAGCGCCCTGGAATGCCGCTTCCGCCAGGGCAAGCGCCAGACACAGCAGCTGCGGGAGCGCCAGTTGCGGGGCTGGTTGATGGGGCGAGTGCGGTGCGAGCGGCACGTGTGACGTCCATGCAAGCAGCAGCTGCATGGCGGCCGTTGTCGCAGCCGCGGCAACAGCAGCCGACGCCGCTTCGGCGGCGGCTGCTGCCGCCACAGCCGCTTCAGCAGCCTGTTGGGGGTACTGTGAGTATGGATCCTGCTGCTGCTGAGAAGTAGGTTGATAGAGAAGCTGCTGGTTGTGGAGAGAAAGGCGACATGGCTCTCCCGACTGCTGCTGCTTGTGCTCTGCTAGTGAAGACTCCTGCAGGTTCTGCTGCTGTTGCACGTGCTGCTGCTGCTGCTGCTGCTGCTGCTGCTGCTGCTGCTGCTGCTGCTGCTGCTGCTGCTGCTGCTGCTGCTGCTGCTGCTGATACTGGTACTCCTGTCGATGCTGCAATTGTGGTAAGCTGATGCCTGCCTGCTTTTGCTGGGCGAAGCTGACGGCGCCAACCTGCCCGACAGAGGCAGCCACGATGCCTGGCGCCGCCATCCCACTGCCCACCACACCACCTATGGCAACCCCGCTGCAGGCGCCGCGGCTCAGGATCGCCCCATCACTCGCCGCTACCGCCGCCGCCGACACGCTGGCTCCAAGGGCTGGCTCAAAGGCGTCGAGAACCACTCCCACGCACGCATCGATGCCCACCACACCCGTCATAGAGCGTGCGTTGCCGCCATGCCTGCCGCCGCCGCCGCCGGCCCCTGCTTCCCTACACAGCCGCTCAATCGCCGCCTCGACATCGCCGAGGCGTATGCCGCGATCCCTGAGCCGCAGCTGATCCTGTGTGCACACACAAGGCGGGGTGTGTTGGTGCGGCGCTGTGCGTGTGGCGCTGTGTGTGCCAAGGCGATGCCCAGGTCCTCCCCCCGGCATTCGCGGCAGCGAGTGCAGACAGCCCTGCATCACATACAACCGCTTGCCACCAATCATCCCTGTCATCAACAGTATTGGCAAGCGCCTCACAACCTCAAGAGCACAGCGGCCGAACCACACCTGCAGGTTTTTGAAATGGGACCGCAGCACGCGCAGCAGCGCCGCTGGGCCCGCCCACGGCGGCGGCTCTGGCAGGATGTCTGCCGGCTGCAGGTTGTCGCCCTCACAGGCCTCCCACAGCAGCCGCTCGTACGCAGGAGCCACCAATGAGAACAGGCGGGCCAGGGCTTCAGCGGTGCTGGCTGGGGCCGCTGCTGCCGCGTGTGGCCCCGCTGTGCCAACCGGTGTGAGCGCCGACGTGGCCCCTAGCGGCAGGGGCCCTGCGGACGAGCCTGGCGCCAGAGGCGGCGTACTGTGCGTCCTGGACACGCCATGAGCGGCGTGAGGGAGGGCCCAGCTCCTGCTGCCGCTGTCGGTGCTGTCCGATCCTTGCTGGGCTGTGATGGTATGACTAGACAGGTGATGTGGCCCTTGGCAGTGGGGGACTAGTGATTGGTGTACCGACTGCTGCTGCTGCTGCCGCTGCTGCTGCTGCTGCTGCTGGTGCTGCTGCTGCTGTTGAGGGTTTGGCATGTGCTGCTGCTGCTGTCCATGCTGTGCAAACAGGGAGACCTGGTGCTGCGGTCGCTGCTCATCAGCACCTCCCAGCTCGGCCAGCCTCTGCAGTAAGGCTTTTCCTGCGGGGTTGCCGCCGCTGCCGGTGTTGTCGGCGCTTGCGAGGTCCCCCAGTGTGGTGTGTTTGAGGCCGCTTGCGCCCACCTTGACAACGAGCCCGTTGTCGTTGGTCACCAGAGCAAGAGTGCAGTGCGGCGGCAGGCGGGCGGCGTAGGCGATGGCGCACTGCAGTATGCGGTCATCGCCGCCGTAAGACAGGCCCCCGTCAGACTCCTGGTTGGGCCATGTGGCGCACGTTTCGCGGTAGTCCTGAGAGTGGGGGGTTGGGGCAGGTGGGGAGTCATCATGCGGCTGGCGCTTCGGCGCGCGGTGATATTGGGAGTGCGGGCGACATTGAGGCAGCACTACGTGATGAGGGGGCCAAGACCACTAAGGGGGGCTGGGAGGGGGAGGGGCCCCCGACGTAGCACAAAATACATCGCATCACGCTGTAGCAAGGGCAAACCCTGAGGAAAGGCATAACCGTGGCTGCCCCATGCTCAACCCTGCTTCAAAGGCCTCAGACTGTTAAGGCTGCCATGCAAGCTGTGCCAGCCACCATATGCCCACTTCCCGTCCCGCGCAGCGCTCGTGTTCCAGTATCAACACCTCAGCCCAATCCACGCTGCCCCTGATCACCTCCCCCACCCCTCACCTCGTGCGTCTGCACCCTCACAAAGCCGGCGTGCGACTCGGCCATCCAGCGCGCCACCCAGCGGAGGGCGTCGCGCGCCGCGCGCGCCACCGCGGGCTCGTGTCGGCCCTTGAGGCGGTCCAGCTCCACCACCACGGTCCAGGGCAGCACCGCCACCACCTCCAGGCCCGCAGCCAGGGCGCCGGGGGAGCCGGGCGCGGCGGCGCGCTCGAGGGCAGCCAGCAGGGT